GCGATCCAGGTAAGCTGAATGGATTTCATTGATGGATAAAGAGCAAGGCGTGCTGTTTATCTGGAGAGCCAGAGTTTTACGAAAAAACACATTGAGTAGTCACGGTAAGGCGGTTCTCAAACACCATTTTCTCCGTCGCATGATGTGGGTAGAACGAAGATGTGGCAAAACCGATGTGAGCAAACTCCATAAGTGCGGTCAACAGGTTTTTTCAAAAACAGTTAAAAAAGCAAGAAAAACAGGCGAATTTTGCAAAAAAATTAAAACAATGTCTAGACAAGTGCATGAGGCAGTGCATCCGCTATACAAGCTTCTGGATAACATGACGATGTTCACTCCTTGAAACAGTTTCATCGCCTCTTTTTGCAAAATACTGTTCTCCCATACGTAGAACGTGAAAAGCAGAGCCAGTGATTTGACGGTTGTTTGGAGTGTTGAAAGAGACGGCATTCACGTAACGCCTTGTCAGTAGGTAGCAGGCAATTAGGGTAGTTGTGAGTTTAGAGTAGAAATTTGTGCGACCTTTCACTGCTCTTCAGAATGTTTCGATTGTTTGGATATAAGGCGATGACCCTCCTGTGTTTCCTTCTTTGCGGGTTTCCAGAAGGAGCTTTCCTCTATCCCCCTAGCGCTAGGCTGACGATGCATTTCCATCCTAGGAAACGCTTGTTTCAGCATATCATTCCTAGCTTCTTGCAGTGCTTGCAGCTTCCAAGGGGAAGACTTTGAGTTTTAATCCACGAATAATTCAGCTGTTTGGGAGAAAACAAATGAGCTTGGTGTGCACTCATGGGTGTGTCTAACATTTTTATTGCGATGTTATTGTCTTCACCTTGATTCTAGGAAGGGTATCTCATCAGCGTGGCGCAACAAAAAGGCAGTGGTGCACAGGAGTGAAACACGCCTTGCAGACCCTACAGTTCGATCTACTTGCTAGTCGTTCTTTCTTACTTGCAATCCAATACATCTTGCAATTGTCTCCGAAGCAGCCGAAACGTCGCCTTCTTCGAAGCAGCCGAAACGTTGGCCTAATAAATTGTTCAACCTTGAAAGGCTTGAAGAGGATTATCTTTACTACGAGGACCATCCCTCATGCTGAATACATAGCACTGATTGTGATGAATAGTTACGAACTCTAGGGCAAGTTGCAGAGATAGCAGGGTCAGATGTTGAGGTGCGAACTGGGCTCAGGTTGAACGTTACGACGATCAAGTGCACTGTCCCCCGATAGTAACCAGGAACCCAGAAACAATCGTAGACTGCTTCGGGAAAGCTATGTAAGGAGTACAGAAATTCAAGTACCTGGAAAATTTTTTACGCTAACCCTATCATGCATGAGGCTGTTAATCTTGAAATTCTCCCAGAAAAAATTGGTAACATTTATTATCTTTTTTCCGAAGCGCAGGTGCTAGAAGAACTCAGCGTCAATCATTTTCATGATTGAAGCTTCTAATTAAACCTTGTCAGACCAGTGGATCTCACTATATCCCACTACTTTCACTATGATGCCTTTTGAAGAACTTAGAAATGATTCATGCTCAATTACAGGGACTGGTCAGCAGAAGCAAAAAATCAAGCGTGTGCGCACAACGTTTGCTGAAGAACAACTGAGTGTTTTGCAGGTGACGTTTCTTTTCCATTTTCTTAGAGTTGTCTGAGTTTTCTGAAATAGTGTTTCCTGAAATTATCAATATGCACCATTAAAATCTGTTCTCCGTCTCTGGTAGCTCAAGCTATAGTCGTTGTGTAAAAATAGGGGATCGTCTTTAGAAATTCTTCAGAAAGAAAATCACGCTACAAGCTGATAAGATGAAGGCGATTCACGTATTTTTGAGAAGGCTGCTGTTTTCTTTGAAAGTGAGCACCGTTTCCGCAGTTTTCAAAGTTTCAAACAAGAATGAACAGCATTGTGGTTAAACAAGGATGCACAGCGTTGTAGCCTTCGTGATGAGGAATCAATGGTGTATTTAATGCCTGAAAGTTGAGAATTCCATGTGCAGAGCTCCAAGGGTTCAGCTGAGTTTACTCGCTGCGTGATTTTCTGTGTATTGCATTGGGTAGTAGCCTTATTTACCAATCTCGCGAAATTATTATAGTTTTGTTTCATTGCAGTAGTCGCCTGGTCGGCTAATCCGGAGCATGTGAAGCACTGATTGCAAATGATGCTGTTTATCATTTTAATCCACAAAAAACAAACAAAGAGAAGTAGAGTATGAAAAGAGCTTGGAACATCAGGAAATAACTCTGTCCCATACCACGAGAGTAACATATTTCTTGCTGGGACTTCGACCACATTGACAGGGAAACCACCAACTTATATCACTCCCGAGCCCTTGCAACCTTCAAGGATCCGCTCAGAGCTTATCTTCTTGGACATAAAGCCCGAAGTTGGGAAGAATGTTAGAATTGATGTCCAGTCTAGGCCCTTTCACCAAGCGCTTAAGTGGAGCAATTGTCTAACTAGGGAAGGATATTTGGTCGTCGTCAAGATTAGATGTACATCCTCGCAGGTGATTCCGAATGCTGATCTCAAACCTTTGTTCCGAATCTGCTAAACGATTCTGGGAATATAGTTACGGGACCGATGCACCTTTTGTTATACCACAGAAACGAACGGATCACCAAGCCGAACAAAGCTGTAGCTGTGCAGCGGTGGCGCAGCTGAGAGGACTTTAGACTGGTATGCATGACATCAACGTTCGATTCCTTGATGCATGTGCTCGTTTTGCTTTTCCATGAAATGGGTCCTGAACACTTGTAAAACATTTTTTGACTTAGTGTTGAGCGTCTACGGAGCTCTCTCACAATTTAGGATTCCGAGGAATAGTAATTCGATAAGAAATTTTTATCACTACTGAACGATTATAAATGCAATGCCTCCCTACCACGAACAGTCAGAGCAGTGTATCGAAATCTCCTGCAGCTCCCTGCACCACGTACGTCAAACATCAGTCGAATGACTCATCCGACCACAGCCCTCTCTGGGAGGGTTACGGCCCACTCATTCTGAATACTGTCCGCGCTTTCGAAGCGGAGGTACAAGTTAACTGGCATTGTTGAAGAAATACTGAAGTACAATAGTTTATTGCTTTGTGTGCACACAGGATTACCCGCTGATTCTGTTTTTAAGGTGAGCGCCCTTTCAAGAGGCCCTTTCACGAGGTAGACGTGGTGGTGCGGTGAAGCATGATACCACGGCTGTACTCAAAGCCCTGAATTCACCAACGACTTGTTTTGAAGTTGACTACTACGGACGTTCATTGTTGATTTGGAAGGTGGAATCCAGTGGAAATGGCTGTCGTGTAATGGGACTCATATAAATTTTATACTCTTACGTTTTCCTTCCAACTTGTACGCTAATCTCCATAGATAGCCAGATCGGCCCGCTTATTTTGCACCTGATAGATGCGACCCCATAACACATGCAAGTTGTCAATAATAGGCTGATGAGGAGGCTCATACTCTTTTAATTTTCATAAACAGTACTCTGTCGTGATGATACAAGACGTGTTTTTCATGTTCGACTCTTTTTTCAACTCTTTTTTTGCAACTCGAACTATAGGAAACTACGGACTCTTCTACCAGCGCCGTAAAATCGGAGCTCATGGGCCAGATCACAAACTTGAGGGCTAAGTTTCACTCCGGAACCTCTACATACTCAAAGGTACAAGGTTCCTCCGCGCAGTTACGGATCCATCGCCGCTGTCCTCA